GAGGCTCCGGGTTTTAAGCAGCCCCCAGCCTGGATCTTCTGTGGGATCTTGGCTTCTGCAGTGGTCATTGTGGGAGCAACAGGCACCTACCTATGGAAGCACTGGAAGAAAGTCCGGACAACAGGTATGGTGGGAATTTTAGAGGTGACCACGGCCTCTTTCCCTTGAAGGCTGAGGGCTCAAAGAAGCAATTTAAAGACTACATGAGAGAGAATATGAAAAGGAGAGAAAGTAGATTAGGGTCTCTTGTTTCCTGTTTTCCTTTGATCTGGGCTGCCTCCTCATTGGCACATTACACACACAGCACATACACACCACACATGCACAGAAACACACAGTCTCCGTGAGAAGGTCTACCTTCTGTTTCTCCACTGGTATGTTTCTAGAAAGTTCCCAAGTACTGAAAACCAAATCAAAACTGGGCTCTCAGACATTTCCACAGGTCTTGATTGAAATTTAAGGAAGGAACCTGCAGAGTTCTGAGGAACTCTGCTTGGAGGTGACATACAGGAAAAACCTCCACCAATGTCTCACTGAGTCTCTTCCCTCCTACTCCTCTGGTCCCAATTTCTCTTCACAGGTATGCAGAGAGAAGTCTTCATTCCCATGTCAAGTGAGTAGATGGGAAAGCATGTGGAAATGGGCCCTAGTTTTATGGCTGATTTGGAAGGAAATTTAGAATTCATTGAGTACAGTTCCTTTTTATAGATGAGAAAACTGATTCTACACAAGCGAGGCACCATTAGCTGGGGTATTCAGAGCCGTACGCTAGTTTGTTCCTAACTACTTTTAGCTTCACCACCCTCACCCCTTAACCTCTTCATCTCCCCACTGACCACAGTAGAGAGCTGACACCACTATTTTTCCCCCCTTAATTTTATGCTGGTTCATTTACAAAGTAAATATATTGTTTTTCATACCTGATCTTTCCCATTTCCTTCACCCTCCCCCCTCCACCAATCAAATTGTGTGACCCTGTGATTAATCCCTCCCACCCTCACCCATCCTCACACCTCTGCTTTCACCCTTTTCTTCCTTGGATCCTCATACTTGTTCTACAATAATGTTCTTATACAGTATTTGTCCTCATGGGACTGAATTAGTTCACTTAGCATAATGCTCTCCAGTCCCTTCCAGGTTAGGTAGTAATTTACAAAATCATTGCTCCTGCGTCCTGCACAGTATTCCATCATGTGAATGTACCATAATTTCTCAATCCATTTGATTGTGGTTGGACATGACTGACACCACTATTTGACATTAAAAGAAAAATTAAAATGTCTGAGCCTGGAGAAAGATCTTGAGTTACAGGCCTAGTGGGGTGGTCAGAGGGTCAGTTGTTGAGAAGAGGGAGGCCAGTTTCCTTGAGCAGTGGGTATGTGTAAATTGAGGTGGAGGGGGGTAACTCTCAAGGGAGGCAAGGCCTGAACCTTTCTATGCTCAGCTTTTCTTTCCTCTGCCTTCAGATTGACAGAAACCAGTGGATTCCTCCACCCTTTGTAGCAGAAGTCTCCATTGGTCCCCATCATCGTTTGATTGTTTGCTTAACCAGTCAGCACCCTCATCCCTACTGGGGAGCAGCTGGCTGATAGCAGGAACATCCTTGCAGCCCAATCTGTGGGCCCACCCAGCCACACCTTCGGAGGAGAAGGAGATCACCCCCTACCATCCCTGTGTTTCCTGGCAGTGTTGTACAACCAGATATATTTGTCTGTGAAGGAATTCTGGTGGTCTAGTGGATAGGAGTTCTGGTGACCTGATGGTAAGGAGTTGCACTGCCAAATCGAAGCATTGCAGTTTGCATCTACCATCTGCTCTGTGGCAGAGAGATGAGTAGTCTTCGGAGCAATTTAATGTCTCAGAAAACACAATGGAGGGGTCAGCTCTGAGTCTGTTCTGATTGGACAGCAGTGAGTTGCTGTGAAGGGTCTTGACATGGTAATAAAAGTATATGTGGCAACTTTGTGAGGGTCCTCTTAAATTGACTTGATGTTTCTCTTTGATTCCTTAAGACTCAAAGGAATCAAGGAGGCGTCTCCTATTTCCTTTCAAGGAGGAAGGTCTGTCCCTTTAGGATCTAACAGTCTAATAACTCTATCATTTTACCTTAAAAAAGAAAAATTTTCAAGGCACCAAGTCTGATGACGCAGCCCTGTTTCCCATCTCCCTCAAGAGCAACAAACAACATTGACTCTGAGTGAACTGGCCTTAGCAGAAGTGAACGGACCTACCCTAATAGGTCTCATCACATAGGGTGGTTATGATGGCACCTAGCCACAACAGGAGATGGGCCTTTTGTTCACTTGAAGCTTTTCATGAGGGCCCAGCTAGACCTCTAGACAAATTCAGCTGGGTCCAGAGAACTATGTGACCTCAAGTTTTCCTTTCAGATGTGCTCCTTGCCCAAGCAGAAACCTACAACACAAATTGTAAAAAAAAAAAGAGAGAGAGGGTAATGTTGCTTGGGGAAGTTGGGGAAGGTGAGTCACTGAGAAAGCAGAGCTGAAGGAGTGAAGGGTTTGGGGAGCCTTGAGGGTGGTACACAGAGGGGCACTGAGAACTTTGTATTTTAGCCATGTCTTGGACCAACTCCTGCCCATCCCCCTAGAAGCTGCATCTTGGCAGACAGCAGAGAGCTGCATAACAAAGATACCTTGATTCTGTTCTGTTGGGTGGGGAGCTGGTGTTGCCCCTCCAGTTCCAAAGCCTGACTCTTCACCCCCACCTCCACCCCCCACCCCCGTCAGGCCCTTAATCTACCTGACTTTTGGGGTGGTGAGTGATTTAAAGGTAAACACAGCTCTACCTCCAACCGTTTTAGCTCTTCATGTACTTATGGAAGTGTTGAAACACATGCATTTGGTTAGTGGCAAGTATACAGAGCATGTGAGCAGGGGCAGTTTGGTAACTCATTGGAAACAAACAGGGTCAAACAGAGGGATATTACTACCCAGGTGAAAATGGCTGGTTCCCTGGACATAGAAGAGCGCCACCAGGACACCCCACCCCTCCAAAAACAGGCATTGAACCACTTCACCCCTGCAAACAACTACAGACAGGGCCAAGGCTGGAGTGGAGATGAAGTGATACCTTCACAGGGGGATTGTCCCCAGACTGAGGCTTCCACCTCCAAATGATGGGCACAGTGGTCTAGACCTTCCCAGAGCCCCTAGTTCACCCCAAGGTCTCCATTTACAGCAGGTTTAAGGGGCAGACAGACAAACCTCATCCCTTGCAGACTAGCATAGGGAGGGCTATTCTCTTGCAAAAAGCTTCAGACACTTAATGAGGCCAGCAGTTGAACCTTGGGTGTATCAGGCCAAGGCCCCAAAAATCAGAGCCTGAGGGAGCACTTAGGACAGGACTCCAGCGATTCCACCTCAAGTCACTCCCTATCTCCTCAGCACCTTTTCATCAGATCCCCAAAATGAAGCACATCCTGTGGCTTAGAGGTGGGGGAAGGGTGTGTCAAGAGGCCAGACACCCGAGTACGATGGATGGGGGAGCAGGATACCGGGGTCCTGGCAGGAGGCCCCTAGAACCTGTCTGAGGAGCCTTAGTCTTTGAGGGAGACTTAGGTAGGGGGTTGCTGGAGCAGCATTTAGCGGCTGTGAGGGGGTTGGGGCTGGAGGGCTGAGGGGAGCAGGAAGTTGTCCCCAGGGGAGCCATCTAGGCCCATTCAAGAGTTGAGCACTTGTTTAGGGTTAGAGCTGCCCCCTCTGGGGACTAGGATTGTCCAGCCTATGCCATTGTCCTGCCCCCTTCCCCCCTGTCACTTCCAGGCTGCTTTGAACCCGAAGTCAGATATTTTCTTCTTCCCCCTCCTACCTTGACTTTCCCCACCCAAGACTTAGGACTGGAGGCCTGGTTTAGGAAGGTGGGGGAGGGCCTGCATTCTTAGATCCTCAGGTCCCTGAAGTAGGGCTTTGAGGACCCCGATACTCTTGTCCCACTGTGTTGGGGGATGGGCATAATGGTGGCGTGAAGGAGTGAGGAGTGTTTTTGTCTTCTGTCAGAACTAAGATTGGCAAACTGGCCCAGTCAGTTCAGAGTCTTATCCTGGAGAAGAGGTCCCATTCCATAGTCTGTTAGGTGAGGAGACTTTGTGGACGGGTGTGGGAGGTAGGGGATAAAGGGGACCCTTGGTATAGAATGAGAGCTGTACCAGTCTGCCCCTGCTGGTGAATTTAGCAGGCTGGGCAGATGCTCTTTGGAGGCAAGGATGGTGAGAGTTCTCCTATAGATTGGATGAGGTAGTCATATTGTTAGGATGGGTAGACTTTGGAAAAAGACGTTATACTAGAACCCTTAACAAGATGAACTGATGCAATGACTGTAATAATGAGTTTGAGCATGAGGTCATGAGGATGGCAGAGGATAGTGCAAAGTTTTGATCTATTGTTTATAGGATTGATCTGTTCATAGGTCGCTATGAGTCACGGTTGACCTGAGGGGGCACATAGCAGATTTGAAGCTTCAGGCGAGTAAAGTGGGTGGGAATGCCTGGGTTTCTGGGTAGGGGGCAGCTGGTTAGTGTACAATGAATTATATGTACACTATTTATAGACACAGCAGTACGTGGCACATATAGGTTCATTGAGTTATTATTGTCTGAAGAGCTCAAAGAGTGGCTGAGTCAAAGTGAGGGGATGATGCCAGGGTTCATGGAGAATGTGAAAGATCACAGGCCTGAGGTGTGCAAGGCTGGGCACCTTGTGGACAATTGGCAGTGAAGGCGCCCAAAGAAAACTTGCAATGAGGACCCTGGAAACTGCAGACTTCTAGTGGGACCTCCCAGGGTTACTTCGTCTACAAAGTCTACTGCCACCAACAGGCCAACACTTTCCGCCTCAGTTTCTCCCACTCCCTCTCCCCCACCCATCCAGAGGGCGGGGCCAGAGGTCAAGGCTGGTGGGTGGGATAGGGGAGAGAGATCTGGAGCAGTCCCTCCCAGAGCCCTCTGTTCCTGAGGCCCCCGGCTTGGGGTGCCTTCCTTCTCCATGGCAGGATCCCTGACTGCCGACCTTGCCTTTTCGCCCCCACCAGGAGGTGGAGATGAAGGGCCAGGAGGGCCTGGGCCAGACTCAGGCTGGGCTGACCCCCGCGCCTGGCTGAGCTTCCAGGGTGCCTCAGGTGGGCCAGGAATCGGACCAGGTGCTGAGTTCTGGGGCATTCCTGCGTGCCCCTTGCCCTACGATTTCTATGGAGGCATGGCATACTGTGGACCTCAGGTTGGCTTGGGGCCTCTGCCCCAAGGTGGCCCTGAGACTCCGCGTCCGGAGAGTGAGGCGGGCGCTGGAGTGGAGAGCAGCTCCGAGAGGGCCTCCCCGGAGCCCAATGCTGCTCCGCCTTCTGCCAAAGTGGACAAGGAGAAGCCGAATGAGGTCGAAGACGAGGTGAGTGATTCCTGGGCCTGGAACCCAGAGGGGGAATAGGTCAGGGTGCACCATCCCGGGCAGGCGGGTGTGTGGCTACTCTAGACAGGGTCAAGGTGGGGATTAGAAACTGGAATTCAGAGAGAATCCAAGCAAGATGTGGGCAAATCGGGAGCGAGTGTAGTGTGGGCCTAGGTCTTTGTCAAAAAGTCCTTTTGTATTGCCTAGACACAGCCAGGATCAAATTGCTCATTTCTAGCCCAGTCTTGGACGGAGGTTGGGGTTTGAACTTCTTGTCCGCACCATTAACCCTTCTTGAATACTTTATCCTATCAAACTCTTGATCTATACCCTTAGGGTTAATTAAGCACAGCCTGAGGGCAAGAACCAGTGAATGTTCTTATCTCGGTCTAATTGTTCCTGAAGGTCTAGGGTGTGACTGAAGTCTTGCTTGGTTTACACCTCGAGTCAAATTTTGAGGTCCCTTTACTGCTGCTGGTACAACGGTTAAATATTTGTAGCTGCTGCCCCAAAGGCCAGAGATTCGACTCCACCGGCATCTCTGAGAGAAAAGACCAGGCTGGCTGCTTTTGTAAAGGTTACAGTCCTGGAAACTGGGGCAGATCGCAACAGCTATCTTTTGCCTTTGGGCCCAGTGAGTCACCATTATTCCAGGTGCAACGCCTTAGAGGCTCCTTGTAGAATACTGAAAATGACTGCTTTTGATCAATTCCATACATTAATAAGGGGGGAACCTCCAGAAGATGCCATCTCTAAGCCATTCACAAATGGGGGGCTTGCTGAAGGATTAAAGACTTCAGCCCCGCCGAGGCTATTAAAGATGGATCTTTAATAGACAAGTAAGTGTAAGCAATTAGAGATCCAGGACTAAGCTTTTAGGCCCAACTGAAGGAGGTGTGAGAATGGTTTCAGCCGAGACAGTAGCCGCAGACTCCTTGCAGGAGGTGACTGCTGAGCCTTGAATAATAATGGCTGCCAATTGTGGGCTACTTCCTAAGTGCCTGACTGTGTGCCCAGCTTATACATCATTATCTCATTAGCCATCACAAAATCTCCTAGGGAGCTTATTTCACAGGTTTTAGCTGCTAAGAGGGAAAGCAAGGGATTGAACAGGGATTTACCAAACTCATTCAACAAACTTGCACCCAAATAAGGTTTGGGAAAACTGAGGCTGCCCTTTGTAGAACAGTCGTTGATCAGGCAGGGGCAGGTGTTGGCAATGGAAATAGACTTTATTTGTAGACTCTTGAAAGCCTTCTGTTAAGGCCACCAAGGTTTTCCCTCTACACTAGCCCTTGTACCCTGAAACTGAGTCCTCCGACCTCCTGCTTTCTTCCTTTACCTTTCCCTAGTTTCATCCACTCTCAACAACTGCCATTTATACGTAAATGAAGGCGCCAAGGTGGAAAAGTGCTTAACTCCTCCCCTAAAGCCTTGGAAACCCTATGGGCAGTGGTTCAAACATGGAAGACTGCTCCATTTTCTGTCACCAGCCAGCTATCACTCATGCCTAAGGGCTAGACAAATCTGTTTTCTATTCCTTTCACATCTTGGAGACAGACCGTGGTCCTTTGCTGTTAGTTGCTGGCTCCAACTCACAGAAATTCCAGTCTCTGCGATGCTATGTTGTTGCAGCCATTCTCTCTCAAAGTCTTCTAAAGAGCATTCCAGCTGCACTTCTGTGCACTGTGCCTGCCAGTTGGCCTCAACCTGCAAATCCTACATCCACTCCACTGGAAGTGGAAACATCTGTTTAAAGCATCTGAATGCATCCTCAATCAGTTACTTCTAGCATCCTTATCCCAGTCCCATCACCTTTACCCAGTCTATTTGACTGTACCTATGTGATCCTTCCTTCCAATCTAGTGCCAGTATATCAACCTACTGATCTATATAAAATGTAGGCATTAATATTTTTGCTGAGTAATAATAATTAATAACTGAGCAATAAGATAGTAGCAAGTTGTACCTACAGGATGTCTTGCTTCTTCTCTTGGACCTCATCAGCTTCTATTTGCTTTCTTGTATTCACTGGGCTTTGTCTAAAATACTGTTTAGATAATCTTTTGCACAAATATCCTTTTCCTTGGCCATCCTATTTCTGTTATTCTCTTTGTATTTTTTTCCCCATAGCATTTCTGGCATTCTAACATCCCGAGTAAATTACTTGCCTACTCTATGTTGTGTCATTGAGTTGAAACTGATGCTTAGCTGCCCCTCCAGCGTGTTTTCAGAGGCTGTAAATCACAAGGGAGGAGACTGACCTTGTTCTCCCTCAGAGCAGCTGGTGGATTTGGACCACCTGCCTTTAGGTTGGCAGCCCAACCTCCTTACCCACTATTTCTCTACTCTCAATACTTCTAAACCAGCAATACTCAAGTTAAAAGGTCTTTGAGAGCATTAAATGAGCCAACAGACAGGGATTCCCTTTATAGCCTGAAAGATGTTACGTCCATAGCCAGGGTCTGTCTTACATTCTGCATAGTGCACTACATTTAATAGAAGTACAGATTTCTGGAGGAAGAAAGGATCTCTTGGCATTGAGCCAGTGAAGGGACGCATGATATTTGCATGTGATGTTAGGTGGCAGTTCAGGGAGGCAGAGATACTTCCAGACTATTTCTTGGGGGTGTAGTCAGAAAAAGTACTGAGAAAGGAAATTGGGATAGAAGGGCAGGTGATTTATGTCTTTGTTTTTTCTAAGTTCTCTGGGGTATCCCCCCCCCACCCCCCACCCCTTTCAGGACATCAAAACTCGGCAGAAAGATCTGGAGCAATTTGCTAAACTCCTAAAGCAGAAGAGGATCACCCTGGGGTATACTCAAGCTGATGTGGGGCTCACTCTGGGAGTTCTCTTCGGTGAGTCCACTCAGCATGTCCTGACCTACCAGGAAGTAGGGATGTTTCAAGGGCAGTTTTGTCCCCAGCCATGAAGAAGGGAGATCAGGGAGGGAGGTACTTGGATCCCTAATTGTGTGTGAAGTGTCTTGTGAAGACTGGATGAGGATGGGGCCCTGGGTATTTGTCCTCAGGCTTGGAATGCTGCCTTACCTTGTCTTTCTTGCTATTGGCCTCCCCCAGGGAAGGTGTTTAGCCAAACCACCATCTGTCGCTTCGAGGCTCTGCAGCTTAGTTTCAAGAACATGTGTAAGCTGCAGCCCCTGCTACAGAAGTGGGTTGAGGAGGCAGACAACAATGAAAACCTCCAGGAGGTAAGGGCAAGTGGCTCTGAGCAGGGGCACCTGCCTGCCCAGTCCCATTTTACATCGCTTCTGTTCCTTGCTTGAAGTCCTCTTATGGGACTACATTTGATGGAATGAGGTGTGTAATCCTTCAGTCTAGGAAAAGGCTCTGGGGACACATCAAATTCCTAGTGCCCTATAATCCTTTGGTTTTTGTGCTGTTGTTTAGTTAGTCCAAGGCCTACCCTCCCATCTTCATTTTCATCCCCTCTCCTCTCCACTTGTCCCAGATATGCAAAACGGAGACCCTTCTGCAGCAGGCCCGAAAGAGAAAGCGAACAAGCATTGAGACCCGAGTGAGAGGCAGCCTGGAGAGCCTGTTCCTCCAGTGTCCCAAACCCACCCTGCAGCAGATCAACCACATCGCCCAGCAGCTCGGCCTTGAGAAGGATGTGAGTGCCCCACCAGACTGCTCCAATCCCTACTTCTCTCCAAGCATACCCTCACCCCTTTCTCCTTGCTCTGACTCCTGCCTCTCCACTCTCTAAGCTTTTAGATCCAATTAGCAAGCCAAGCCAGCCCCACTCTTCTGGAACTGAGGGTCTAATATCACTCTCCACTTTGTCCCTACCCTTAGGTGGTCCGCGTGTGGTTCTGTAACCGGCGTCAGAAGGGCAAACGATCTGGTGGTGACTACTCCCAACGAGAGGATTTTGAGCCTGCTGTCTCTCCTTTCCCAGGAGGACCGGTGCCTTTTCCTTTGGCACCAGGACCCCATTTTGGTGGTCCAGGCTATGGAGGCCCTCACTTTACTACTCTGTACTCCCCGGTCCCTTTCCCTGAGGCGGAAGCCTTCCCACCTCTCCAGGTCTCTCCTGTGAGCTCTCCCATGCATTCCAACTGAAGTGCCTGTCCTTCCTAGGAATGGGTGGCAGAGGAAAGGAGAAAATTTGGAAATAGCCATGGTATTTGTACTAGGGCTTCTTGGTTTAAGTTCCTCACTCACTAAGGAATGAAGAAATTGGGGGAAACACCTGAAAGAGGATAGGAGATTGGGGGTAGAGTTCAGTGACGCTGATAATTAATCCTCCATCTTAACTAAAAGAATCTTTGCTTTGTTCTTAAATAAAATACTTGGGACCGAGTAGATAAGAGTACTGTTGTCTTTATTCTACTCTGGTTAGTGAAGATTGAAGGGAGGGGGGCAGATATTCCATGCTAAGGATTAGCTGTAGTCATGCAAACTGCTCTGGAAATTGATTGCTAAAGGTCCCATAGTGGAGTGTTGGGAACTGGCTTTCAAAGCACCATCATGATCTTTGACACTATGGATTATCTAGTCTCCATTTAGTTTTTGCCTGTCCTATCTGTACGTGACTTGCAAAGTCTTTTGTGTTTAAGACTAGATTCTTATCACTAGCTATTTGGTATTGTGCCTGGAGTTATTTCCTCAGTGAAAACCTTGGCTTACGTCTCTGGGGACAAGGTGAGAAGGACATGCAGGTTGGGAAGCCTTTCCCAAGGCTCCCTGGGTGGCACAAACTATATTCCATGCTTCATTATTAACCTAACAGTTAGTGATCTGAACCTACCTGACAGTACCATAGAAGAAAGGTCTGGTGATCAGCTTCCACGGATAACAGCTAAGAAACCCCTGGGGAGCATTTCTGTAATGTGGGTTGGCCATGAGTTGGAACTGACTTAACTGGTAAAAGGTTGTTCCTTGAAGTAGACCTGTGATAGGCTCTTGGTTTGCTATGGGGCACACCAGAGAAAACAAGGCTAAACCTTACCTGAGTTAGCAGGTACACCAGGCTTTCCCTCCCAGTAGCACTGTTAATATGTCCTCCATACAACCACCATAGTGGTCCTATGAACAGAACCAAACCCTGCCCTATAAAAAAAATGAAACTAAATTGTACCATCCTTACAATCTGCCATGTGGGAGCCCATTGCCATTAAGTCAATCCATCTTGTGGATATTTTCTCTGATCTTCCACCTCTTCCAGCATATCTCCCAAGGACTGGCCCCTGCTAGTAAGTAATGTGCCTAAAGTACATGAGATGTAGTTTCACCATCCATTATCTCTAAGGAACAGGAACACCCTGGATGCATTTCCTCCAAGCCAGCTCTTTTTGGCAGTCTACGATTCATACTCTTGGCCAACAGAATTGAAAAGTATTGATTCTTTGGTCATCCTGATTTCATAGCTCAACTTTCAAAATTTCTGCCACTCATCAATTCAAGGAAATCTCAACCACTTTGTCTGGCAGTGGTTCATATTCCCAGATAAACCATCTTTCCTACTAAGAATCTAATTTCCAGAGTTTACTCAGCTAATTCCCAGATCCCCAAGAAAAGTCTTATTAAGGTGGTTTTCTATTTGGTGACAGCAATAGAAAGACCAAGGGGAGGTCACACTGTGGCAGTCACACACACACACACACACCCCCCGCCAGGCTTGCATTCATTCACAGTGCTCGCCACTTTCCTCCCTCATGCTGATGTTCATGGTGAACACCAACGTGCCACACCTACGTGCATGAGCTGCTCTCTAAGCTCACCCAGCAGCTGGAACAGCATTGGCAAGATCGGTGGCATATACCAACCTGCTACGTGGCCTGTTTTCCAAACACCTGCACATCAGCCCCTATAGGGTCTATATCAACTGCTGTGACATGAATGCAGCCAACATGGGCTGGAACAATTCCACTTTCGCCTAAGGGCCACAGTCGCCTGTCTTGGTCTGTAGTGGACAAGAGAAAGAAATTATGCAGGAAAAAAGACCAACGAAATCAAGGCAGGTACTCAAGCATTGCCAAAGATAGGGTTAGCCACAGTGTAGGAGAGTTTGGGGGGCTATGTCCTAGGTTATCCCACAATCAGATGGTGTCACCAAGATATGAATCCTTGTCCATACCTGGGGCTTATGACCTGTCTTCCCATGCATGGTGTCTAGGACACCAAACTACCAATGGATTTCCAACTCACTGGCTTTAAGTGTTTAAAGAAGTAATTTTATTTTGATTTAGGTGAAGGTTAACACAGATTAATTTCCCATTCAATAATGCATACACAAAATTGATCCATGACATTAGTAGCTATAACTTCTTGGAGGCAGTCTCTTTGGCAGGAAAACACGTCTTCTGTCACCTTTGGCCATGAGTGCCTGTTGCAGTCCCTGAATCCATAATCCATGGCAATGGGCCCTTCCCTGGAGTCATTCCCTCCTGAGGAGGGAAGGGAAGAAGGAGGCATTTCTTAGGGTCCATTTGCACCCCACTGTTTAGGCCTCTGGCCTATAGGCCACAGCTGTCCTGTGGTGCCACTGTGTTTGGGCATTAGGGCTCAGATGCTAACACGACACCCTGGGCATTGGAAGTCAGCCTCCCTGGCAGCCTGGATGCTGCAGCCAACACAGGCCACATGGAACCAGGTGTCACAAGCATCACACTGAACCCAGGCCACTGTCTCTTCTTGGGGCAGGCAGCACTGAAGAGCTGCACAGGGCTCCCCACCCCCAAATGCAGGGGGGATCAAAGGGGTGCTCACTGGGTGCTTCCGAGGACGCCCACGACGGTTTCTAGGAAGTTGAGGGGAAGACACAAAAACCAGGGTCACTGAAAACCTAGGAGCCTTGAAATGATCTCTGGATAACCACAGGGTGAACCTGGAAACACTTTGGGACCCTGTACGATGAATCTAGATATAAACTAGTAAGATGTCTGTAATGTGAACCAGGAAATGTCCTTTAAATCTGTAGGATAGACTTAGAAAACTAGTACAATGTCTGTAATGTGAACCTAGGAATTGTCCTTAAAATCTGTAGGATAGGCTTCTTGTAAACCTGTAAGATACTGCCTGGAAATTTCCCATTCTTAGGCACTAGAAGAATTGGGTTGAAGATGTCTGAAGATCCTGTGCTGATATGTCCACTCTTTTATAACCACTGCCCACTGCAGAGGATTCCCGATTGGCCGAGTGTATAATGTATTAGGGTGCTAACCAAAGAGTCACCAGTTTAAATCCACCAGCTGCTCCAAGGCAGAGAGATGGGCAGTCTCCTCTCTATGTTTTACAGCCTCAGAAGTCTGATGGAAGGTCAATACTGGAACTGACTCAAAGGCAGCAGGTGTCTCCACTTGAGAGCTCTAGGGGTGTGGTTTGATATGTGTTGGGCCCCTAACAAAGGTTGGAGGTTTGAATCCAACAGCTGCTATGCAGGAGAAAAAAGAGATGTTCTGCTCTCATTAAGACTTACAGCCTGGAAACCCAATGGAGGACTGGAATCAACTCGATAGGAGGGTAGTAGGTTCAGTTTTAGCCCTCATCTCATCTAACTCTTGCTTTTTGCCCTCTACATGTTTTTCAGGTCAGTAGGTCACATTGATTTTATTCCATCTCTGCCCACCTTTCTCTATCCCCACCCCTAAGCATAAGCCTCCTCAGGGATAGAGGCTCTGTAATAGACAGTGAAGAGAAGGAGGGCTTTGCACTTACCCACTGGGTGTCAGTGGAGCTTTCTCTCCTCGGAGTCTCTTCCTAGGCTCCATGAGGATGGGTGGGGGGCTCTCAGGAGGTCCCCTCTCGTCATCCAGTTCTGCCAACACTCGGTGAGCAGATTTCCTCCGGTTTCTGGGGGGTGGGGGTGGGGCAGGGGGTGGTCCCCACTTCGCCAGGGGGAGTGGAAAGGGCCAGGCCCTGGGGCCCACCCCCACCTCGGGAGAAGGTAAAGGGCTGAGGCTGGAGCTTGCTGAGGCTGCCGATGGAGTTGAGAATCAGTGTGGCCTTTGGGGTGAAGGAGAGAGTGCTAAGGGGCCGTTGTGGAGCCCCCTGAGAGGGGAGCATGGGCTGAAAACCACCCCCAGCTCCTGCTTCTCCCTGGGACAGCGGGATGGTAATGGCTGCAAATTCCTGAGGCTTGACTCGAACTTGTTGGAACATGAAGTAGAATTCAGAGGGGCTGGTTCCTGGGGACCCTTCAGGGCCAAAGGTCAAGAGATCACCATCACTCAGCTCCAGCCTGTGACCCTTTGGGAGTCGGACATTATTGACTAAGGTTCCTATTGATGAGGCACCAGACAGAAACAGGAGAGGGGAAAAAAAGAGAGAACCAGGGTCAGGAGTGGGGAAATCTAGACCTGTTTGATTTTCTGGGGCCCACCAGGAGGAATATGGCACACTATCATCAAATGCTTCCTTCTTTCATCTAAAACCTTCAGCTGGTGACAGTAGATAAGCTTTATGATCAGGGGAAAACTTTTTTGTCATGTGTGTACTCTTTCTAAGGGCAAATAGAAGGAATGGACCCTTTCAGCTCTCTTGATGTCCAGATCTCAGCTCCAACTCAAAGAACAGTTATTATCTCAGCAAAGCTTAGAAGCCAGAGTTTCTTAACCTGTCTGCCTTATTTTCCTTGTCTGAAATGAGGATCGATATTAATGCCTGCCTACACTTAATATATTTAGAACATTCTGGCTCATAGCAAGTCCTAAACGAATATTGACTGCTATAATTAGCTAGTCCCCACAACTACCCATGCAGGATAAGTCTTAATACTAGTTACATTTTACCTAAAAGGAAACTAAGACTCAGAGAGGGAGGTGAAATGATAGGCCTGATTATTCACCAGAAGCCAGTGGCAGGCTGATCTTCTGAAACTGAGACTAGTACTGCCTTGGAGTCAGGGAGAAGTATATATATATATATACACACACACACACACACACATATATATATCATTAAAATGTGAGTCAACCTCTTAACTAGTGTGTATATATATATATACACACATACACACACACGTCATTAAAATATGAGTCAACCTCTTAACTACCCTAAGATGGAAACAAGGTGGCTCAGCAAACCTGGAAACGTGGCCAAGTCTGAGTCTGGCCCCTTAGTGGCCATAAATAGACCTCCATTATACCCCTTCTGATGCCCAGGCCCGGTTAGATTTCTAAGTCCTTTGTATGAACTAGTGAGGACCATGAAGGGCCAGCCCTACAAATAGCTCTGACACTACACTTCTTGTGGGAAGATAGTCGGGACAACTAACTCCACTCAACTAGATGGAGAGTTTGGAATCAGGTGGGATCCCCAGGGAGTCTCTTAGTTATCTCAGCCTGGATCTGGGACTGCCCAGGGGCAAGGCTGCCCTGCTCACTGCTCACCTTGGCTGCTGTGATCCTCCAGGCTGACCTTCCAGTCATCACCCTGGCGCTCAGCGTGCAGCTCCGCATGCACCCCAGAAATAAGGCCAGGCTCCCGCTGGGGCCGCAGGGCCACATCACATAGGTCGGCCCTGCGGCCCAAGCGGTAGGTACAGCCAGCCCCAGAGGGAGGGTGGAAAGTATAGAGATCACCGCCCCTACCTCCCCCTATGCGCAGCAGCTGGAAACAAGGCAGCATAGGCAGTGCCTCTCTGTACCGACCTTCCACTTCAGGAAGACATAATTTTCCCTACTCCTTGGGCCATAAGCCTGGTCCAAGTTCTCAGTGTGATGCAAATTTGGGTTGTACTTTGTACAATTTCAATTTGAAGCAATTTGTAGGCCAATTTTAGGGTATAAGGGGTCTAAGCATGCAATGCAAAACTAGCTGTCCAGCAGCTTTGCAACTGAAAAATTCAGGAAAGGTCCTCGATGCAATGGCAAAACTGGAACAGGCCCTCACACTGCAGTTGAACCGGAATCTCAGGCCGCAAAATATTCGGGACTCCTCAGATCTGTGCAAAACAACGATACATGCATTGCTGAGGAAATGCAGAGCGGGTAGGGACGAGGCTTGCTTTTGTGCAACAGAACGCAACGCCTCAGTGTAATATGGAAAAAATTCGCTTCTTCTGATAAACCTGCTTAAGCAAATGGAATACCCCTTCTGCGCACTCGGCACCCCGCTTTTCTGGCCAGTCTTCACTCGTAACTCATTTGGAATCATTTGGGCAATGAACCCATCGTCACATCCCAAAAAGGCTCCTAAATTTTCCACTAAAGCAAATCTAAACTCCTGCTTCCTAACTTCCCCAGTGGGACGAAATAGCGGAAGGAGCTCCCCGCAACCATGCAAAACAAACCCAGCTCTTTCTCTCCCGTTTCCAACCCGGATTCGAATCTACCCACGCAGTGCAATCTTGGAATGGTTTTCTTTCCAGTCCGTGTGGTCTTGTGAGGTGGTAGTCCTGGGACCCTTCAGACTCCTCTGCTCAGGAGGACTCCTACAGCAGTTGTTTGACAGAAAGATGCCCAAACCAGGAAGGGCGGGGCCTCCGTGCGCGGGCCCGCGCGACCCGAACTTCGGAATTCCCGGGTCTGCTTCGCGCCGAAGGAGCCTGTCCCCATATCGTCCCTGATTCGACAGCTCACTTGCCCTTGCTCCGTTCCATTGGGCAGCGCCGTGAAATGAGTTTCTGGATTCCCGCCTTCAATCTTTTCTGATTGGCTCTTAAGCTTTCCCGGGTTCCCGGAGTTGGGAGGAGTCGCAAGGGCGCGGAGGTCTTCAGGCACTTTAATTGGTCCTAGTGGTAGCCGGTCAGCGCCTGCGTGCATTTGTATGTTTTTCTCCCTTTCTTTTTTTTTTTTTTCTTTTCCTTTTTTTCTCCCTTTCTCTGTCTAAACAAATCTCTGTCCCGAGTGTTTTTCCCCTTTCCCCTTCTCCCTTCCGGTATGAAGTCGAGCTTTGGAGCTACCCCGCCAACCCTCCCGCTGTGCGCAGGCGCAGTCAGAGGCCACAGCCTGAGTCCTCGAGCCTGGCGGGGGGTGGGGCCTAAGGGCTGAAGGGGGGCCCCGTGCTGGGTAAGGGGCGTCGAGAAGAGTCAGTTGGGGGCGGGAAAGGCTCAGAAGGGGATCAGGGATGGATTTAGGAAGTGTATAAGGGATAAAGGTGAAGGGGCCGGATGAGGCAATCAGCACCGATTTAGAGGCCAGGGTGACGGCCCAGGGGGTCAGGAGAGAGCCAAGGTTGGGGGCGGGGAGTGGGTAAGAACTGAGAATTGTTTGGACATCATCAAGGAGATAAGTTAGGAGATGAGGGTGATCGTGAAGAGCCAGGCTAATTCCTTCAGGATAAAACTAGATTAAGATTTAGGGAGATGACGCTAGGAATCATTCACCATAAAGGAAAAAGATGAGTTGTGGTAGGATGGTGGGGAAATGATGTTGAGTAGCCTGCCCTGCTCTAGGACGCTGGAGAAGGGAGAGTGGGCAACAAAAATGGAAAGAACAGTGGAAAAAATTGAGAGGAAAGTCACAGGGATAGTTCGGATTAGATGGCAGAAAACTGGCCTTTCTACCTAGCAATCTAGGGCCACTGTATTCCCAGGAAGCCTGGAGAGGGTCACCCCACAGGTGGCCTTGTTCACCTGGGACCAGGCTTTGGGCAGGTACTGTTGTAGGAAAGGACTCAGGAGTCATGGCTTGGTGGTGTCTGGATGGGCTTCCCCAAGGCCTAGCTGAGCCATGGAGAGAACTCTGGAGATGGGATTCGCAGCCCTTGGACTCCCTTCCCATGGTGCACAGGACCACTAGGAACTATAGAAACTTAAAGCAAAGGGTAAAAGTACTACCTAGAATCCTAAAACTACAAATAGAACTTAAGAGCATCTTTCCTTAGCTTAGCTTTCACAGTAAATTTTCTCCATCTATGGTTATTGCCAGACGGAGCTCTTTTGGCTTGGTGGTAAGGAGTTGTGCTGCCAGTCCAAAGGCTCATGGTGGTTTTAGTCCCACAGTTGTGGTGCAGGAGAAAGGCCATCTCTTGCGATTTACTCCCTCTGAAAACCTACTGGAGGGTCAGCTATGAGTTAGTTCCAACTCAATGGTACATAACAACCACAAGAACATGGTTATTAAAAAAAAAACACATGGTTATTGCCAGAGTACTGTCAGGACCTTGGTTGGGACAACCAAGTAGTCTTGGGACATCTTTTAGGAAATGGAGCTGAGAGTAGAATGGACTTGGCTGCTATTTAGGGTGTATGACTTCTTTTTACTTGAGTCATTTTCTTTGGAGGTAGGCCTGAGAATTTAATTGGGACGCCCTTGTTTGTCAAATTGTCCAGGGGGACATGGACAACTGGAGACAGAATCTAGAACCTTCAACACGTGTGGAGATGTTGCGACCTTCAGGTCAGTGGGACCAGGCAGGGGGCTGCTGATCATCTCTCCCTCAGAAACTGATCCTTATGTGTTCTTACGATTCCTCAGGTTCCACTCGGTTAATTCCGCCATCCCATTTCCAAGCTCGATCCTTTCCAACTCTTCCAAGAATGGCTCCCCCCTGGGTTGCAGACATTCCTGTGGTCCAGTCCATAGCCCAGCAAGATGTTTCAGAGAGGCGACTAGACGATTTGCGTCCTCCAGTGACCTTCTGGGAATGGGATGCTTCTGGTGATGGACAGGAGCCAGGGCGGAGAGTCAGGTAGGGATTCCATCATCACCATTTCCATAGGCTTACTTGCCATTGACTGTTCATCAGCATAGATCTTTTATGCTGCTTAAGCTCTTAGTTTCATAATCTGTTCTTTTTTAGAAGCTCTGGTGGCATCGTCTGAAGCATGTTGTGCTGTTAACCATAATTTGCTCATATTTACATACACAATTATTGTGTACCTGCAAAACATAATAATAAGGCAGTGTAGCTGCACTGGCAAGAGGCTACATCCTGGTACTAAGGAATTGAAAATCATAGGGGAGGAGATAGACTGATAACAGCTGATCCTAATAAGCATGATGTGCAGACCAGGGCTGTAAGCTCATACTGAAGTGGTAAAAGAGCCATGGTGGTGCTGTGATTTGAGCTGCTAATGGAAAGGTTGGCACTTCAAACTTAGCTAATGGCTTCTCAGAAGAAAGACTACAGATCTGTTTCCAAAAAGATTTACAACCTTGCAAACAGCTCTGTCATACAAGGCTGGGGGTTTTTTTACCTGTAAAAATTCCTGATGATTTCATGTATATTTTCCCCCATGACACTGGAATGCCGTTCTACCATTTTGGTCTGGAGTGAGCTTACACATGAGCTCACCACAGACTCCATAAAGAGGAAGGAACTTGAAGAAAAGAAGGGGAAGTCCTGGACTAGGGTGTCAGGAGACAAAGATGCTTTCATGCTAGTTTGGCTACGAACTGGTAGACCATTTCCCAGTCACTTAATCTCTAGGGCACCTCTGAAAAATCAACTTTGGTGGGGAAGCTGTGCTCAGAGCCTGGTTAGTAAATTAGTTTAAACGTCACACCATTGCAGTAGACTGTACATTCCCCAAGCATAGAGACTATATAATTTATGAACGTACAGTACTGTCCCTTAGACACCTACTATAGTATACTGAACACTCAAATAATGTTTGCAACTAACCCCTGACCTCACCCTGTTGATATTAGAAATTCATGATCCCTGTTCTGCTGTTTCTGCAAACTTTTTTCCCTTTCTCCCAATGGAAGTTTGAAGTGTTCAGTGAACATCTCCAGACTGAGAATATGTGTCCTAAGGTAGATTCCTCACACTACTCCCTGTACCTCTTTATTTCCCCTTAATGTTCATTTGATGTTTAATGTGTTTCTATATGGTGCTCTCTGGGTGAATGTTGGGGAGCTCTGATGGCCTAGTGGGTAAGGAACTGGGCTGCTAATCCAAAGACAGGTAGTTCAAATCCATTAGTTTGCTCCTTGGGATAAAGATGAGCAGTCACCTACCATGCAGTTTACAGCCCCTGAAAACCCACTGGAGGATCAGCAATAAATTGGTTTCAATTTGACAGCAGTGAGTTTGAGGTTATTTTTTTATTAATATTATTATTTTTTTTTAATTTTGGAAAGGGAGAGGCATAGTATTTGAGTTTTTGTTGTTTGGATTTTTTTTTCTTAAAAAATTTATGTTGGTTTGCTTACAGAGTTCGTGTATGTTGTGTTTCACACTATCCTTTATTCACATTGTGTTTCATACAATCATTCCCATTCATTATGTTTTATAAAATTAATCACCACTGACTCTATGCTTGTCTTTCCATATCCCTGCCTAATCTTCCCATTTTCTTTATCCCCCTCCCTCCACCCAGAGTTTGAAGTTTGTTTGTTTGTTTTAAGTTTTATTTTATATTGGTTTGCTTACAATGTTTGTATACATTATACATTGTGTTTCACAGAATTTGAGTTTTTTTGAGGTATATGTTGCATTACCCAGCTAACCTTTAGGTCCTATGAGCCCAGTCAATGGACTTACTATGCTTAGACCTTTGATGAGGGACAATGGAGATGTAAATGTAGAAATCCCTGAATAGTATTGCTCCTCTCTTTTCTGTAGAGGTTCCATGGTCCATCTCCATGCCCCCCCATCCCCACGGGGGGACAAAGAAATCTCCTCCTCCTGCTGTCTCCTCTGTTTTTGAATGGAAACAGAGAGGCCCAGGTCTCTGTATCCACCCTCTAGGGCCAGAAGCACATCTTCACTTCTGTGAACCTGTCTTTGAAGGTCTGTGAAGGGGTCTCAGGCCCTGACCCAGCAGGCCGAGGTGATCTCTCGGCAGCTGCAGGAGCTGCGACAGCTTGAGGAGGAGGTCCGGCTCCTTCGGGAGACCTCACGGCAGCAGAAGCTGAGGCTGGAGACCCAGGCCATGGAGCTAGAGGCCCTAGCAAGGGCTGAAAAAGCTGGCCAAGCCGAGGCTGAGGGCCTGCGGGCAGCCCTCGCTGCTGCTGAGGCCATTCGGAAGAACCTGGAAGAGGGGAGCCAACAGGAACTGGAAGAAGTTAAGAGGCTGCACCAGGAGCAGGTGAGTGCTGGGGTGGGAAGGCCTTCCCATGCATCTGTGAGCAGAGGGGTGGTGAGGTCTTTGATAAAGGAGAAAAATCAGGTGACCGAGAAAGGAAGACCTGGAAAAGATTAGAAACTAAATATTTTGGTCATATTTAGTTTCTAGTCTTTTCCAGGAATTCAAATGATTTCCCATTGCTTGAGACACTTTTTCCTTTCTCAAGATTTTTATAGTTTGCCTTCTTGCTTCACTCTGGGACTCATTTTTATCTGAGCAGTGCTGTGGGGAAGAGTGAGAAGGTGGAAGTGGGGCCTTGTGCGGACTGTGAGAGTCAGTCTTGGTCACCAGTGCTTCCTCTTGGCTACTCTTGACATGGGAGCTCAGGAATCTAGGGAACAAAACAGCCTCAGATCTGCCGTTACAGATAAGCTTATAGTAGAATAGGGGAAACACTTGATTTCATTAATTACAAAAATGGGTAAGGGATCCTTAGTCTAACTGGGGAGGCTAGGGAAGGCCTGCTATTATGAATTTAATTATGCCTCTCTAAAACTCAGTGGTACATAACAACAGTAGCAACAACAACATAGTATGTGCAGGAGGCCTGGTAGCATAGTTTTTAAGGAATTGCTCTGCTAACCTAGATGTGGTGCCTCTTTGATGGTTCAAATTCATTGCCTCCTCCTCAGGAGAAAGATGGGAAATCTCCTCCAGTGCAGTTTATAGCCGCAGAAACCCACTAGAAGGTTAGCGATGAGATAGTTCCAACTTGACACAGTGAGTGAAAGTAGGTGTTATAAATTCTAACCTCTCTGCCTGAGGTTATAATTTTATTTGGAAATGGGCTTTTTTTAATGTTGATGTGAGGTATATCTTGGGTCAATCTCTTTTGAGATAGAAAAAGAAATTAAACATGTGAGGAGAGAGAGAAGAAGATAGATGACAAGATACATGGATATCTCCAGACTGTGAGACAATAAATTTGTTTATTAAAGACATCTGCTTGTGATACTTCTGTTACAGAAAAACTAGATAACTGAGAGATTACTAGGATGTCAGTCTAACAAATTGATATGTTGAACATTGAAGCCATAAAGATACTGAAACGAAACCTGACTGTATCCCTTTATGACTTTAGAGTGGCTGGTAAGCCATTGAAGGTGCTTAAAAACTCATTAGGAGGTTGTTAGGCAAGAGATGAGGGTGCAGTTAACTAATTATCCGTAAACCTAGTGTTTAGTGTGTGTCTCCAGCACCAAACTGCAAGTTCATGCGTGAGGGCAGGGCCTCACCCACCAGCTTAGCAACAGAAGAGGTGAAGAAGTGATACTATGCTTCCACCGAAGATCAGACAGTAATTGTGATGAATTAGATTTGGGCAGCTAGAGAGAAGGAAGTACCAAGAGCCATCTCTTACCTTGTTATTGCAGTCAGGTTATTTCTTTGAGACTTTTCTCTGTGACTCAGGTCACAGAAAGTGGCAGGGCCAAAGCCAAAGCAGAGGGAAGTAGGGAAGGTACAGAAGTTGAAGTTGCCCAACTGAACCCAGTCTTCTTTCCACAGCTTTCCTGCTTAATGGCAGCTCACCAGGAGGCTCTTTCTAATTTGACCAACAAGGCTGAGGGCTTGGAGAAGTCTTTGAATATCCTGGAAGCCAGGCGGGTAGAGGAAGCTGAGGAATTAGCCTTGTCCCAAAGGGAGACCAAGCAGCTGCAGAAGCAACTGAGGTAGTGGGATGGAGATGGGCTACCCTGGAGGGGTCAGCGTTTCCTGGGAGTGATGGAATTCCAGGATACCGCACTAATGGTGTGCATGTTCCCACCTCAACCCCAGCAAGGCTCAAGAAGACCTGGAAACTCAAGTGACCATGGTTGAGAACCTCAGGGCATATGTGGGGGAACAAGTCCCTTCAGAGGTCCAAAGCCAAGCTTGGGACTTTGAGCGACAGGAGCTTCTGGGAACTATGCAGGTGAGAGCAGGTGCTGGGGTACATCTTTATGTGTGGAGGTGGCGGGTGTGTGTGGTAGGATTTTCAGGTTTATAGACCAGGTCCTGAGGTAGACTGGCTGCCATGGAAACTAGGCCTAGTGAAGGCAAGCAAAAAGGCCCTACCAGAAGTTTCCTTTTCTGCCTGCAGCGCCTGCAGGAGGACCGGGATGTCCTGCACACGACCAGTGAGCTGCTACAGGTGCGTGTGCAGAGTCTCACGTACATCCTTACCTTGCAGGAGGAGGAACTGGCCAGGAAGGTAGGAGTCCTTTTTTCCACACCCTAGGCCCTATACCTTCTGTCCCCAGCCTCACTCCTTTTGTTCGGACTGAATAATTATGCTGTAGAATTTCCCTGGATCATTCCCTGAACTACTATTTCTGCTGTAGCTCCCATTGCTTAAGAGGGCTTGTGTGGGAGAGGGGGTAAAGATGAACAGAAGACAGATGCTGCTCGAGACTTCCACAATCCCTGCTTTCTTCCCACTACAGTTTCAACCTTCAGATTCCCTGGAGCCTGAGGTAACTGAGAAGTTCCAGTCCTTACTGACTTGTTGGCGAGAGAAAGTGTTTGCCCTCATGGTGCAGCTGAAAACCCAGGAGTTGAGCCACAAAGAATATGTAGAGCAGCTGAAGGGACAGGTAACTTAACCCTTTTTCTCCCTATGATTCCCTCCCCTGATCCTGTCACAGCCCTTGCTGTGTAAGGAGAGGATGCCACGTGGGGGTGGCCAAGTCTAACTTCTCCCTGCTCATAAAGGAGGACTGTCCCCATCAATAATATCCAAGCAGCAAATAGATATCTGCTTGGTCAGACACACTACCCGCACCATACTCCTTCCTGCATGTTGTACTACCAATCATTCAGGTCTGATACTCATTGTTGACTCACAGACTTTACTCACAGCTGTGGTACCAAGAGTGGGGATTATTAGGGAAGTAAGTTAGAGAGTGGAGGAGGCAAAGAATATCATGCAGTGTAAGTCCAGGTTTTAGCCCAGCAGTCCCAAGACACAATTCCTCTGTTAGTCCAGGCTCTGGTTTCAGTTCAGCAGTCATCTTTTCCTTCCATCATATGAGAAGAACAGTAAAACCTTTAGTTGTGGCCTTCTTTCAGGGCTCATCTAGTTACACTTTGCCATATTTTCTCCACAACAAATGCTACAGTCTCTCCACCACCATCACCAGGGTCTTGTTCCCCCCCCCCCCCCCCCTCTCTCTCTCTCTCTCTCTCATCCTAGTCCCACAGCTGTTGATGATTTGCAAGACCATGTTTCTACCATTAAGGTAGTAGGAAACCAGAGGGGCTAACATAATGGCTAGAAAAATCGACTTTTAAGCTAATACTGCACTTATACATAATGGGAGAGTGTTCATTAGTGCCCATAAATCTGTTTGGTTATCATCATATATTAAGAATATAGCTCCAAGGAACAGTGGACCAAGTATTTGCCGTCAGGGAGTTTATTTTCTAGGGGAAGCACTTAGTGAGTAAACAGTTCAGTGATGTCAAGAAATTATACTTGCTGAGAGTGATTTGTCTGCCGTTAATTTTATAGCTTAGATGTGTTTATGCTTGTTTCTTTCGTGTTTGCTGTTATCAATGTGGTACTTATCTGTCAGTTTGCTGTACTGAGGTAACTTGTAGGTCACTGTGATGCTGGAAGCTATGCCATCAGCGTTTCAAATACCAGCAGGGTCATCCATGGTGGACTGGTTACAGCAGGGCTCCCAGATTAAGACAGTCTAGGAAGCAGGATTAGCCATCCACTTCTGAAGTAACAGTCCTTCAAAACTACTATGAATAGTACATGGGTAGCTATAGTATGAGAGGTAGAACCCAGGGAAGTCACCAAAGAATGAGGAAAAAACCGCTGCAAACATCCACTAAAAAATGGTCCTTGGAAAGGAACATCATGCTTGGAAAAGGGGCAGGTCAGCAAAAGTGGAAGACTCATTGAGGTGGATTGACACAGAGACTGCTGCAGCAGTGGGTGCAGGCATGTCAGAGAAGATGAGAGTGGCACAAGATAGGACAGGGTTCAGATCTGTTGTTCGTAGGGTCACTCTCGTAGGAATCATACTCGACTTAGCGGCACCTGACAACAACAGAGTTTTTCAGGCCTGGAGTCACACTCCTGTGATTAATTTTCAGTGAAAATCTACATAGGGCTTTAAGGGAAATGGGGAGCTAGTGCGCTCTGGCGGCGTGGTCTCTAGTGAGTTGTACTGCTGACCAGTAGTTCTGTGGGAGAGAAATGGGAGGTCTCTTGTAATTTACAGCCTCAGAAGCCTTGATAAGAGTCACTTTCAGTCAGAACCAACAGCAGAGAGTTTGAGATTTTTTGAGTCTGAGGCAAACAGCAACACCAGGAACGTACACACTCATTGGAACAATCAACTAAATGAGGTTAGAAGGGCAGCTTTTGTCCAGGAATAAAGCTGAGAAGGCAGGAAGGGATAAGAAAGAAGAATGAAAGGAAATTGATAAACACAGGGAGCGAATGGGAAGAAAGCTACTTCATGTAGAGATTCCACTTGATGTCTCAGAACAAAGTGTGTGTGAATTGTTGAGTGGAGTACAGGTTTGCTCTGTAAAATTTCACTCAAATCACAATTTAAACATAAAGAAGAAAAATTTACAAGATGACATACCTGACTCTGGAGTAGCAGGAGCCCTAGATTGGATGGTCAGGTAAAGTCTCTTTGAGGCAGTAAGGTCATCTAAGGATGTAGACAGAAGTCATGGGTCCTTCTTGGGTGTCACAGGGAATTTCTCAAGGTGTGGGGCCACAGAGTATGCTTCTGGAAGGAAACTGGTCCCACTCCAGAAAATGGGAGTCACCCAGACTTACCTCCCTGTGTGACACTCTCTCAATCTCTCATGCCCCAACCTTGCTCATTCCCAGTGCGTGGCCTGGGGCTGGGAGCTGAGGAAGTGCCCCAAGCGCGCAGCCCCAGGCTCCTCTCCTCTTAGGTGGTCGAGCTTGAGGGGCGAGTTGCAGAGCAGAACCAGGAGCAGACCATTCTGCAGTGCTCCCTCCAGGACAAGGCCGCAGAGGTGGAGGTGGAGCGGGTCAGCACCAAGGTCAGGGTCCTAGACTGCTGGTGGTGCAGGCAGTGGGGAGTGGGGTCAGGGGAGAGCACACTGTGACCTCCATCCTTTCCAGGCCCTGCAAGGGGAACTGAGTTGTGCCCGGGAAGCCTGGTACCGGCAGCAGCAGCAGACCACCATCGTCAAGGAGCAGCTTAAGCTGGTGGCCGATTCTGTGTGCAGGTATCTGGGAAAGAGGCTTAGGGCCGAATTAATTTCTTCTACTCAGCTTTCAGGCACCTTATTTCTGAAAGCCATAGGCAGGAGGGGCTGGAAAGCTGTGGAAATGGGGGAGGATGGGCTAGAGGCATTCAGCATTCTAGGAGCCCCTGGGTTTAGTTTTCCTGGCAGAGACCCCTCCATCTCTCAGAGGGAAGCAGCTATGAGCTGTGTTCTGCCCTGGCGTGTGGTAATTCTTCCTCCTACGGGTGAGTCTGTAAACAGCTGGGGGACACAGAATATGTGGGAGGAGAAGTTCCAGGATTCAAGTGTGGGCACTTCATTGATCTTTCTTGCCTTTTATTTCATCTTTTAAAATTTTCTACTTCCCTCCTCTTTCTCTCTACTTACTTTTTACTTTCTTTCTCTCCCTGTCTTTAAAATTTATGGGTATGGCTTTTTAAAACACAAACCAAACCACTAAATCCACAACCCTCAAGTTTATTTCAACTCATAGCTACCCTTCCACAGATCTCCCAGGTTTTATTCTGAGAGGAGATTGTGTATCTTTCTCCTACCGAGCAGCTTGTGGATTTGAACTGCTGACCTTTTGATTAGCAGCTTAACACATAATGTGTTATGTCACCATGGCCTGTTTTGTTGGAGGGAAGAAAAGAAATTCATTTTAATGCTCTGCACCTAATTGCTTACTGGGTGAAACATCAGTCACTTGCAAATTCCTATTTTTATTAGGGAGCTCCCTGTGGTGTAGTACACAGGGACTTTCACTGCTAGTTTAAATCCATTACGTTTAGAGCCTCTGAAAACCTGCTTGAGGGTGAGCTATGCTTGGTTCAGATACAATGGCAATGAGTTACTTTGAGTTGACTAACCTAAAAGTTAGCTATTTCAGCCTTTGTTGGCATAGTCCATAGTGATTTGCAGTGCACATTCAAAGGCTGAGCTGCTCTGATGATTTGGGATTGCAGTGCAGTTTCCTGCCACTAGGCCACCAGAGCTCGCCATCTCTGATGATTTGGATACATTGGCAGCTCCTTGGGATAAAAATGGGCTCCTCAGAATAAAGGTGGGCAATCTCTCCCCCTGTGATTTACAGCCTCCAAAATCCCTCTGGAGGTTCAGCTGTGAGTTGATTCCAACTTGATGACAGTGAGTTGAGTTTTTTAATGGTTACATCACTGACATGTGAAAACCTGTGCAATAACAGACAATAGCTCCTCTTTAGCTTTAGATGTTGTGGGGTACCTGAGGTATTTAGAAGTTGGGGGGATTGCTTATGTAAGGTCCACAGTAAGTGTTGGAAGCGCCTATTTTAAACAATTTCCAGGTGTAAGTGAACTTTGCTGTGCTTTCAGGATGCAACCTTCAGGCCTTTGTCATCCATCTGTCTTTATGCTGGCCTGGACTTTGTTGAGAAAGTCTCAACACTGGCCCCAGACACTCCCTGGGACCCTGTGGCCTTCACCTGGTGTTGGTCCACTGTTTGAAGACCCAGCCCCAAACCCTCTTTTTTATACCTGCCCTGTTCTGTTCTTGGAGAATCTATGTTCCTGGGCTCAGTTAGAGAAGATGACTTTGGGTTTTGATGCATGTTGTTATGTGTTGTCGAGTTGCCTGCAACTCATAGCGACCCTATGTAGGACAGCTCTGAACCGGGCTCTATCCTGAGCCAACCTTTTCGTCTCTGACACACCTACCCCCATGACCCCAGTCACTGAATCAATCCATCTCATCAAGGGTCTTCCTCTCCTGTGCTGTCCCTCCACCCTCCCAAGCATGACATTCTTCTCCAAGAACTGGTCCCTCCTTGCAACATGCCCAAAGTATGTCAGATGAAGCTTCAGAATCCTTGCCTCCAAGGAGCAGCCTGGTTTCACCCTCTCCAGGATGAACCTGTTTGTTTTCCTAACAGTCCATGATATGTTGAGTACTCTTCTCCAGCACCACAGCTCAAAGGCATCAATAATTTGATGCATAATGGTGGTAAAAACGGGAGCTGGTGGCTTAGTGTAAGAAGTTGTGTTTCATGGGGAAACACATGGGGTAGTCTCCTCCGTGCAATTTTTTTTTCATTTTTTTCTTTTTATTGTATTATTTTTACGTGTACCGTCAAATCAGATCTGACTGGTACAGGAGGAGATTGCCCTCTCCTTCTCCAGCAGAGCATCTGGTGGATTTGAACCACGTATCTCTGGGATTGCAGTGCAGCATCTTGCCACTAGGCCACCAGAGCTCCCTTTCCTCTGTGCAATTTACTGCCTCTGAAAACCCACTGGAGGGTCAGCTATGAGTTGCTTCCACCTCAGTGGTACACAACAAGGAGAAATTAAAAAAAAAATTAGGCTGTGAGAAATAAGCTTCGTGACTTGCTTGAAATTATGTACTGTCGTATAATGCCTCAGTAGAGTCTCTTCCAAAACTGGTCGAGGTTCATTGACCCCAAACGTGGTGCACAGTTCCAGGCACTCAGAGTCATCCAGAAGCCTGAAGGTGACAAGTCTAAATTGGTTGCAGATTAGACAGTTATTTTAGCCCTTATAGCATTGTTTTTGCTGAATACTTTACTGTTATGGTATCTCTGTCCAGATAAGATTGACCCAGGAAGCTCATAATTGTTCTGGTTATAGACTATTGTGAAGTCCTCTGATTACGGAGAAGCTCATAATAGATTTGGCTTTCAGGCATAGTTGTGCTTTTCTTCTGAGGAAATGGATCTTTTAAAAAATCGTTAGTATTGTTAAACAGAACTTTTAATATAAATATAACAATTCTACAAAACCCTAGTTATTTTGTAGTATTTCTATCTATCAGGAAGCTCTGGTGGTCTAGTGGGTAAGGAGTTGCACTGCAAACCCAAAGGCAGGGCGTTCAAATATACCAGTTGCTCGGAGGGAGAAAGATGGGCCATCTCCTCTCAGGCAATAAGAATGTCCGGCAAAGTTTTTGGAAGACAGTACTTTAAGACATAAATATAAAAAATTCCCCCCTGCTGTAGTTAAAAAGCTCCTGATCAAGAGGAGAAGCATTTGGCTCTCTATTCAAGATGTTAATGAAAATAATGTAAACCAAATGAAAAAATAATAGTAATAATAAAAACCCTACAACCCTGGCCTTGATTCCGACTCAGGGAGGCCCTCTAGCGGATTCCTGAGGTTGTAACTTTTAACTGGAGCCAACTGCCAAATCTTTCTCTATTTCAGCCAAGGAAAGGACAGTGAAATAACTGAAAGAAATATGTGCTCTTAATTCATCAAATCCTGTTTTCCACTTTGGAGTTCCATGCAGTGGTAGCTAGCTGGTGTCCAGATAAGCACACTTTGTTGTCGCTGTAGTTGTAGGGACTGTCCAGTTGGTTCTAACCTATGGCATCACTCCCCAGTTCCATGCCATCCTCACAAGGATTGTGTTTGAGCCTGTAGTTGTAGGTGTCTGTCAGTCCACCCCTTCCTCTTTTTCTTTATCAGCTCTCTACTTTAACAGAACTAGTCTCTGCTGATAACAAGTCCAAGGTTCAGGAAACAAATGTTACCATCCTTGCTTCTAAGGGTATTCTGGTTGTGATGCTTCCAAGACAGATTAAACACATTTCTTACTGAATCAGAACCATGTAAAATGGTTTAGCAGAGGCAACTGACAACCTCTAACTTCACTGGAGAGGAGGTTCAGTGTCAACAGCCCAAGACTGAGGTGAAGGGCAAACCTGCCTTGACCCTCCAGACATTTCTGATGTCTATTGTTCATCCCATTACACTTTCTTTTTCTTTTTAAAGAAAACATCATCTTTATTTTAGAAACTTTTCTAGTACCTAAGTACTTACTTTGTAATTAATTGCTAGGTTATATGTTGTTGTTGTTAGGTGCTGTCGAGTCGTAGACGACTCATAGCGACCCTGTGCACAAAAGGCCTGAGCACTGTTCGTACATAGAGTTTCTGGAGGCAAGCCATTTTGGAAGTGGATGCCGTTCCTGCTTCCAGGCTTGTTTTAGTGGGGGAGCTCCAGCCAACACTGTCCACCATGGGTACCCATTACCACGATTGGCACATCACTGTCACAGTCTTCAGCATCACAGCAACCAGGAAGTTACCTCTGTACAGCAATGCACAGACCAGTGCTATAAATGGTAAAAATAATCATTAGATAATCTTTTAACTCTTATTATGAGAAATACAAACATTCAAACATTCCAATTGAAACTTTCAATCCTTCCCAAAAGGTATTCGAGGTTCCTTATCACTCCTTAATCTAAGCCCTTCGGAGATGACGTTAACCAACAAGAGACCAGGTGATGAGTTTTCTCAAAAAGCTCCGTGCAACCAGAACTCCTCTCATTGCCATCAGTTCAAACCAACTCCTAGAGGATGCTCTCGCAGTTTGGGGGGCCTGTAAATCACACAGGAGGAGAGTCTTTGTCCTGTGGAGTCAGCGCAGTGACCTATGGGCTATATCACAAGGGCCTCCTATTTCGTGCAGTAGCCACAAGAACATATTAATAGTTAGGAGGTTTATTAGAGATGTTGTTCTTAGGTATTGTTGAGCCAGAACTGACCTGTGGCTGACCCTCCAGAGGGCTTTCAGAGACATTAAGTTGCAGGTGAGGTTACTGCCCATCTTTTCCCCACAGAGCAGCTGGTGGATTTGAAACGTTTCTCTCTGCATTGGCTGCACAAGTCCTTACCACCAAGCCCCCAGAGGTCCCTAATAGGATGGTAATAGTTTACGATTCAGGATCAGCAGTGACTCCGCTCACAGGTCCTCAGTCAGCACAGCTCCTTAGCTTTTGCTTGCAGGCAGGTCTCCCTCCTCTGGCCCTCCGCCTCCTGCGCTTTTGCTGTCAGCCTCTTGGTGGTACAGGCCTGACTTTGCCCTTGGCTCGAGCGTCTTTCCTTCCCTGCTTTGCTCTGGTATAACAGGAGAGAGTGGGTTCTCTGTGTATGGATGGCAAACTGGGAATGAAGTGAGGGTTGGTGTTTCAGTGACCTATCCATGCCTTCTCCAGCTCTCAGATCTGGTTCCAGAACACCATGAGCAAGGTCGAACAGGCTGTCGCCCGGCTGCCCGGCCTCAGCAACCGACTCAGCTATGCAACCCGGAAGGTCCACACCATTCAGGGTGGGTAGGTCCACTGCCAGGCACCCCCTGCCCCTGATTCTCACCCTGGCCCCTATCCATCCCCTATGTCCTCTTGTTATCTCTGAGACACATGTCTTTGTTTCACATCTTTGTTGCTTTGTCTTTCCTTAACCCAGGCCTGGTGGCTCGGAAGGTAGCCCTTGCCCAGCTGCGCCAAGAGAGGTGACACTTGGGGCCCACATTTTTTAGGGAAGGGAATGGGCTTTGGGGTGCTGGTTGCTGGGACCCAAAGCATGAGGATGGAGGGTCAGCAGTGGATAGGCCAGTGCTGGGTGAGCTCCTCTGACCCCTCCCTCTTCCTGTTTCAGCTGCCCCCCGCCTCCCCCTCCCCCTCCACTCCCACCTCCACCGGCCCAGGACTTGAACCTTGAGTTGGAACAGCTGCGGGAAGAACGGAACCGTCTGGATGCAGAGTTACAGCTGAGTGCCCGCCTCATCCAGCAGGAGGTGGGCCGGGCCCGGGAGCAAGGTACACCTGCCTCAAGTCCCTGGGGCCAGGAGGCAGTGCCTGGTGTGGAGGGGATGGAGAGGCCTCAGGAGGAGGCTGCAGCCGAGTGCCTTCTCCTCCAGGGGAGGCAGAGCGGAAGCAGCTCAGTGAGGTTGCCCAGCAGCTAGAGCAGGAGCTGCAGCGAACCCAGGAGTCCCTGGCCAGTGTGGGACTGCAGCTGGAGTCGGCTCGCCAGGGCCAGCAGGAGAGCACGGAGGAGGCTGCCAGCCTCAGGAGGGAGCTGACGCAGCAGCAGGAGAAGTACGGGCAAGGTGTGGCCCAGTGAGCCGGAAAGGGGACACCATGGGGGACGGTGGGGGAGGTGGGGGCCAGGACTCCTGCTTCCTCCTGACACCCCAACCACGTCTTCACCCCAGCTCTGCAAGAGAAGGTGGCCGAGGTAGAAACACGACTTCGGGAACAGCTGATAGAAATGGAGAGAAGGTTGAATGAAGCTCGCAGAGAGCATGCCAAAGCTGGTGAGCTTTGCCGGGACAGATGTGGGCCTTCTGGGAAGAAGGTGGTGTTGAGAGACATTGTTATTTCTCTCCTCCAAACTTTCCTGAGACATTGTCATCATATACAAGTAATGAGTTATACAAGAAAGGGATATGAATGAGTTTTTGTTTGGTGAACACACAGAAAAACATACACCAATTTTTAACCCCCAAGTTTTGGTTAGAAGAGTTTCTGACAGGCAAATTGAAAGGATTGTGGAATGAATGTCCATGTACCTTCTGTAATGAGGTGTACTTGGGGACAGAGTAGGTGACAACTTGAGGAGGAATTGAGTTCTATGTTGGACACATTACTTCTGAGAGAGACATGAGATTTCTCCAGGCAGCAGTTAGCCTTTTGCCCTATTGGTTCATCGGTCTACATGCATATTTATATATTAATTTTTCTGAACCTTTTACAGCTAGAAAATATGCGTTGCTCACAGATTCTCCTGTATAATTTTAATGTCACATCATAGCCTGTTTAACCTTAATGCCACATCACATTTTAGGCTCAGTCTTATCAGTCCAGATCTAGGCTTCCCCTAAGGGACTCTCATGTGGTTTGGGGATGGAAAGGCACTTTGGATTCAGAGCATCATATTCCTAGGTTCTTGGAGCATCAGTCCACCCTTGCACTGTACAGAAGAGACACAGATGTCCTCAAATATACATGCCTTCCCCAAATCCCAGTGCTGGTGACCCACTGTTTCTGCCCGTCATTCCAGTCTGGGTTGCATCAAGTTTGATCTGACTTGATGGCAGTGAGCGAGTTGCTTTGTTTCCTCTGGGCTGACCCACCTTGCGCCCCTGTGCCCTGGCTTCCCTCTAGTGGTCTCCCTGCGCCAGATGCAGCACAAAGCTGCCCGGGAAAAGGAGCGGAACCAGGAGCTCAGGCAGCTCCAGGATGAGGCCCGCAGGGAGGAGGGGCTGCGACTGACCCGGCGCCTGGAGGAGCTGGAAAGGGACAAGAATCTCATGCTGGTAGGAGACAGGGAGCCCAGGGCCCCCTTGTGTGCTAGTAGGAGAGCAGAGGTATAGAAGGAGGAGGAGAAGCTCCTTTTAACCCTCTGTTTCCCAGGCCACCTTGCGGCAGGAGGGCATCCTCTCCAGTCAGAGGCAGCAGCGGCTTCTGGCAGCCCTTCCTTTCTTAATGGACGAAGGCAAATGTGGAGAGTCCAGCCTCCGGCCCTCAGGATCTTCAGTACTTTCAGCTCCCCCTGCTTCTTCATTTCCACCCATGAAACCCTCCTCTCAGGATCCCACAAAAGGTAAGGGCTCATGCAAGAAGAGACAAATGAGGAAGGAGTGCAGGAATCTCCTCCAGATGGTTGGCTACCTGAGAGAAGCACTCTGGTCTTTGAAGTCCACTGCCCCCCTTCAACCACAATTACCATGAACTGAAGAAGTTCTCCCTCACAACCCTCAGACCCTGTGCCAGCACTGTTCTTTCCTCACAATCAATCATTGAGGGAGCCTCTTGTTCCCCTTCCTACCCCTTGGCATCCTCTTCCCCAGGGTCCCTCTTTGCTCTGCTCAATGACCTGCAGGGCCTGACGGAAGCCATTGCCAAAGAGGAAGGTCTGTGTCAAGGAGACAACCAGAACACTCCTGCTTCCGACAGCTGCTGAAAAGGAGGTCTGGAGAAGGGCAGGCAACCCAGCCACCACCTAAGAGCTACGAACTATCCTGTGCTCAATAAAGATGATTACACCAGAGCTGTTGCTGGGCATTGTGATTGATTCTAGAAATGAAAGGGAATTTTCCCCACAATCAGCTCTTTTTTCCTGCAGACATGAGAATCCCCAACCAACTCTTTGTCTGGACAGCCCCTTTCCTAGGCTGCATTAGCATCTTTTTGAGACCCTTCAGGTTTTCTTTGTTCTAAAGCTCTTTTTTTACATGCCTTTTGCTTGTTTGTGTGTACTGTCAATTTGGATCAGACTGGTACAGGAGGAGATTAGATTGCCCTTCCTTCTCCAGCAGAGAAGAATCTGGTGGATATGAACTGTGTGCCTCTGGGATTGCAGTGCAGCTTCTTCCCACTAGGCCACCAGAGCTCCCTTGTTCTAAAGCTCTTTACCGCTGGAACTTGATACATGCCAGGAATGAGGAAGAGAAAGCATCCATTCATTCACCAGTTAGCATTGCTGGGGTGAGCTTGATGGTGAGACCGTTGCTTCCATAGCTTTAGAGCCTGGTGGGAAGAGATGATGGTTTATAGGCATCTCCTGGGATAGTGCAGTGGTTTGTGCTGCATTGTTCTTGTTATGTGCCGTTGAGTCGTTTGCAACTCATAGCGACCCTATGTACAACAGCCCTAAACCCTGCTCTGTCCTGTGCTATTTGCACTGCCTCTGACACACCCATCCCGATTACCCCAGTCACTGAATCAGTCCACCTCATAGAGGGCCTTCCCTTCCTGTGCTGTCCCTCCACCCTCCCAAGCATGATGTCCCTCTCCTAGGACCTGTCCCTCCTTACACCATGTCCAAAGTATGTCAGACGAAGCCCCAGAATCCTTGCCTCCAAGGAATAGCCTGGTTTAACCCTCTCCAGGATGAATCTTTCTGTTTTCTTGGCAGTTCATGGTACATTCAGTACTCTTCTCCAGCAGCACAGCCTCAAAGGCATCAATTCTATCCTCCCTAGTCATTATCCAACTCTCTGATGCATAACAAGTGATTGCAAAGACCATGGCATGTATCAGGTGCACCTTAGTCTCCAGAGAGACACCATTGCTCTTCAGTACT